ATGTTACATAGGGAAAGGCGTGGGACCTTGTAAGGCCGTGTACTCTGTAACCTTGCCTGGCTGCTGCTTTCTACTGATCCTGTTAACGAGATTGTAAAGACCTAGCAGCTGATTCTGAATCATTTTCCCCTCAAATAAAGAGCTCTAATGAAGGAACCGGGATGGCTGGATACTGTGCGTGTGGGGCCGTGTCTGCCCAGGTACAGGACTGGGCAGAGGGCATGAGAAGCAGCGGGCAGAGTGTGCAAGGGGTAGCTGTGTGAGGAGCTCCGAAAGCCCCGGAAAAGCTGCTAAGCAGACTGCTGTTGCCGACTGCGGCTCTGCCAGCCGGCTGAACAGATTGCTGGTGCACGGGAGCAGCAGGCGGTGATAGGGAAGGGAACGAAAAGGCACTGTGTGGTGGATGCCGTGGAGTCAGGCGTGAGGGATTGCTGATTTATTTCATATTTATAAATGAAATTTTAAGCTTGTAATCAGTGCTATATAAAACAGGAAAAAATCGAATTCCTGCCTAACCAGCTCATTATCCACATAGCTAGACAGTATGAGAACAAGTGACTGTAGGAAATGTTTTCCGTAACCTCTCTCTGCTCCAGCCTCTGCACTTTACGAAGGGACAGAATTAACATGCAATAAAAAGAATGCAAGCTTTCTGTGTTGATCTCAAAACTGTCGAAATCCAACCTTTTGAAGGATTACCTATGTGGATCAGTCCTCCGACCCATTATACTGAGACGGGAATGACAGGAATAAGGGAAAAGTGCGGGCGAGCCATTTCAGGACAGTATGGTTTTGGAAGCTTTTCATTCTCACACACACACCCCCTGCCACGAATCAGGGACAAATGCTTGAACAAAAGGGTTAAACACAAGTTGCCTGCAGATAAACAAATCTAGGGGAGACAAAGGCGTTGCCATGCCAGCTGACACTGAAAGCAGCCAGCACAAATTTGGCACGCAGGAGACGATCTAAAAGGCTGCACTGAGCTCCGAGGTTCATGGCGCACAGGCTGTTTCTTGGCTTTACCTTTGCCAGTCCCATTCACTTTAGATCAGAAGCAACAACTGCTTGCATCGAATTTCTTACCCTTTGGAGGATAGTGAGGAGGTAGCTACGTTTTCTGGGACTCAGCAAATGAAAAGCAAGAAAGGAAGTCTGATAAATGTCCAAGAAAATGGCATGAAAGATCTGGGTCTGCCGCTAACTCTTTGGGGAGCGGTTGGCAAGTCCTTTGACTGTTTCCCCTCCCCCTTTCACCTCTTCATGCAGAAAATAGAAATAAGCAATATTTTCTGTGTTTGATTTCTCTGTTTGGTGTTTGGTGTCCGCATTCTGATGGATCTTCTCTAGGGTCTCTAAGTAGTATTGCAAATAGCATCTAATTAATAATGGCAGTTAAAGCACTAATGGAAGGTTTGCTTTACTTCCCAAAGAGTCATGCTTACTTATTCAGTCTGGTCAAATAGTGAATAACACTATCTGTCAATATACTGGATAAACCATCCTTTGTCAAGGATAACATTAGCTTCCTCAGGAATTTGTTGACTAATGTGAGCAATTATTGATTTAATAAATGGTTTTCTAAGACACTGTTTAATAGCTGCTGCTCACTCCATCTTCCCAGTTTAGTCTGTGCTGTTTTTTAACTACATTTGAGGAGCACAGCTGTTGTTCTTGCAAGTCATGAATGTGATCCTTGAATTAAATCCCTGAAAAATGAGTTTCTAGCCAAAATGCAGATGAAAAGCAGATTTTATTTATTCTTTATTTCTGGAAGAGTCATGTATTTAATCCAGCCTGTTGTACATTATCCTGCTGGGCTTCTCTGCTTCAGAAGTGAAGTCTAATGCACCAGTTTCTTGTTGTTTCTGTCCTAAGCGTAAGGCAATGACAGGACCTAAAGCACACACAGCGAGGTGCCCTGTGATTTTGCTCATCACATCTCTGACACCAGAGAAAATTTGCTGAGGTCTCTCTAGAGTCAGAAAGGCACTCAGGAGAAAAAAAAAAACAAACAAAAAAACCCCAGAAAACACAGTTTCAGGGCAATAGTCTGAAAAATGAGAGGGATTGCCGTATGTCTGGACTTCCTACAAGCCCAGCTCTAAGGCAAGCTCAGACTTTGTCCCTATATGTAGACATATTAAATGTTAAGCACAGAAATAATCCAAATGAACTCCATTGCACTCTCATACATGTAAGTAAACATAGCTATTGGCACAGTTATCTATCATGTAAGCATTTGTATTCTGGTGCAGAATACATAAACATATGGTGTCAGAGAGAAGGGCAGCAGCAGCAAGCAGGAATTTAAAACCAGATGGTGGCTGTATGTTCCCTCACTGTGTACTTATATATATGTACAGAAATATATACATACGCATACACACAGAAATACTGTATATGCATGTATGTTATCCCAACACTGATTAGATGAACTTTGACTTTTAGTTGTAATTCAGAGCACAATGTTCAGTGTAAATCTAATTGACTTTCCAGTATCTCAACTTGTTAGTGAAAATTAGGTTGATGGATCAAGCCTAAAAGCCTGTAGAGTAAAAGGTTGTACTGGAACTTTTTTCAGTACGTTACTAAGGACTCAGATGTGGAAAAATATATTAACAGAAGGAAAGTTTGCTCCTACAGCAGTCAGAAAGTTAACATTGTTGAAAATGTGAATCACTTCATAATGTCCAAACACAGTTAAAATGCAATAATATTTTAAGTATATAAAAAAAAAAATTGGTATAAATAGCCTATTCATTTTGCACACCTGCATTAGTAAAGTGTTTTAACTGGTTTTGCTCATGTCACAGAATTCAAAATGAACTAAAATCCAATATTTTAACATCAGTGTGGCCAACTGCCACCCATTATAGAGTGAAATCATGGTAATTTTCATTTACTCTTTTTAACATTATAGGAATAAAATAGCTAAAGTTAAAATATTTAAATTTAAAAAAAAGATATTTTTCTGATCAATCAGTGTAACACGACAGGATGCCAGGAACATCAGGTTTCAATCTACTTATTATTGGCTTAGTCTTTCTCCAACAAGAGTTCTGGAAAATTTGTAATATTGCATTTCAGGATATAGTCACTCTACACAATAGATAAATGAAAAATGTTTTTTTTTGTGAGTCAAAGACTTTTTTGGAGATTTTTTTGCATCTTCTTCTTACCCGGCTTCAGTGGATCATTGTAAAAGACAGGCTATTGGGTGAGGTGATGTCATGTAAAGAATCAATTCTGTTATGATCTACTGATTTGAGTGGCAGCAGGCTATGAAAGACTGATCAAGGAACCATGGCTTGTTCTTTGAACCTCTGTCTAAGGTGAAAATTCCCATAGGATATCCCAAAGTTAGCATTCTGAATTCAGATTTTAGCAAAATAGGCATCTATATCTGAGCTATATCACTGTTGCCAAACCTGGGTTTTGGTAGGCTCAGGAGAGGAATATTCTGCAGTGGCATCCCTGTTATTCTGCCAAAAATCTGGACCACAGCCATAGTGCTTCTGCAGCATCTGGTAATTTAGTCTGATGCAGCAGGTTGAACGATCTTTGTTGGAAAATGTTTACTCAGAGCACTGGTTACTTCTCTTCAGAATTAGTACATCTACCCAATAGTGGCAAACATCCAAAAATTCTCCTGTGTGAAATCTTGTAAGTAGCTGGAGTTGGGCAGAGAAGCCAGGAGAGCAAGGGTGTTTATATCATGGCATTCAGTATCAACCCTCCAAAGCAGCTGGTGGGTTGAATGTGTAGGTTTGATGTTGAGTATATCCATTCAAAGACACAGTAGAGCCTACCTGACGCTTGAGCTTAGTTTTCGAGACTCCCATCATCATCTTCACGTTAAATCCTCTGTTTTCTACCTGAGAAGATCAAAAAGCACATCTGTTTTATTTTAAAGGAGACAAAAAAATCAACGAATTTAAAATTATTACATGATAAGGAATTTGAAAAAGTATAAAATATAAAATTTATTTTACACTCTACTGGAAAGATTCCATTTACTATTTTCTTTCCTTAGATGTTGTCTTTCTCCTTTCCCATAGGATCAAAATAAATCTTTGTTTGGATTTCTCTTTTAATAAATTAGTGAATGTTTTTTCCAATCCATAGTTAAGATTTGACCATAAATTCGGGGTTAAAGAACAACCTGAAGCCTTATGGTTAATCCAGGGATACAGAACAAAGCTCGTCTAAACATTTAACCTGCCATAGTGGTCCATGCAACGTCAGAAACATTAATTTCACTGGTCGGTGGGCCATTGGCAGAGCTATTTGCAGACAACTTTGTCAGGCTCCTCCGTGTCCGTGCACGACGCAGCAGCACCACTCGGTGGCTTCAGGCAGCTCCGCTTTGTCCATCCCCCAACACCAAGCTTGAGCCAAAATCCACTGAGCATTCGGGAAAGTCCGACTTCAGTGCAATTCGGGTGAAATAGTTAGCAGGGTGGATGGGTGATTGGTCTGACATAATTCCAACGGGGTTTTTTAGGAAGGACAGAAGAAAGAAAAAGGAATTTACAAAATGCGAATGCAAACTTTCATGATTTTCAATTGTTATATACGAAATTTTATTATATAAATCAGCTTGGATTTCACCACAACATTTTGGAAATGTGTGGATCGTTCTTAGTTAAGAACCCTCCACCCTTCTAAAAGAAAAAAAAAAAAAGGAGAAAAAAAATAACAACAAAAAAGCTCTCTAATCTCTTTTTCATATCCTTTGTAGAGTTTGATGAAACTCTGTGATAACCAGAGACTTAACAATAAAATGCAATGGAGCATCTTCTAAAAACCATTTTCAGCCATAAATATACAGTACTGACCTTGAAAAATGATTTAAACAAAATTTTCTTGCAGTTCTTTTCTAGGCTCTGTTGCATCCATTCCTCTTATGGGAAGCAAACTGTTATCAAGCTCAAATTAATTATTTTTATTCTTCTAATTTCAGGTTGGGAAGTAGATAACTTGGGGCAAACCCATACAGGTAAGAACCAGTTTTGTTCACTACCTCCTGTGACATCTGTTCTCAGAAATTTCATGTAGACCACATGATATCAGATTATCAAAAAGTTATTTGTGTATCAAGCATTATGAGAATGAATAAACATAGTTCATTGTAACACGCTGATAAAAAGTAAACATGAAAATCTGATACCTTTCTAGAAATCACCATGATCTAACCTAAACCCACAACTTTAAACTGTCTTACTTAAAACCAATTAATTGCTTTTTGTCACAAAATCACAGAGTCACAGAAGGGTAGGGGTTCGAAGGGACCTCTGGGAATCATCTAGTCCAAGCCCGCTGCCGAAGCAGGGTCACCTAGAACAGGATGCACAGGACCGCGGCCAGGCGGGTCTTGAATATCTCCAGAGAAGGAGACTCCACAACCTCCCTGGGCAGTCTGTTCCAGTGCTCTGTCACCCTCAGAGTAAAGAAGTTCTTCCTCATGTTCA